GATTCAAGGATAATTTTACAGTTAGTGGCGACACAACAATGAGGTCAACTAAATGAGGAGCTGATACCGTCTAAACAATATATAAAAGATTTGCAGACTAATAAGATTGCAAAGAGTTATAAGCTTTATTTACAAGATTTCATATAATATATTTCTTACTCATATTCTCAACTCTCATATGGTATTTTAGACTCCCTGTTGCATTTTAAAGTTTTTTTTTTTTTTTTTTTTTTTTTACCAATTGTTTTTCTAGTGAGAGTGATTCGAGAAACGAATTTGTTCAATACTGGTTTTTTGGAAGTGAAGCCAAAAAAGTTACCAATTATGGAAATTTCGGAAGTGAAAGTGAAATACGAGAAACTTGCAGAGATAATGCTCAGACGGCAGCAAATGGAGGCAGATGCACTATATGCCGAACAGGTTCCTTGTCTGTATGTCGTGAAATGTATTGACTGCCAGATATTTTATTTGCCTCAGGGAGTCTAAAACAATTAAACCAAATAAAATCAACATTATAACCCGCAACGCATAGATATTATAAAGGACATAATACGATTATAAGACACTAAAATACCTCCAAAAAACCACCTAAAAACGTAGAATGAATAATAGTTAATAGGGAAGGTTAGTTAGTTTATACACAGAACTAAACTGGCAATCCGAAAAACCGGCGGAAACATAATGTGAACAATTTTGTTGTGTGATTAGCATAATGGCTTAAAGATAATTACAAATGCAAAAATATTTGGTGGATTGACCCATCACGCATCTGGAAAGAAATATTAGAATTTGAATACTTAAATGTATCGTTTTTACGACACTGTATGACTGTTTTTTAACTTAGTGAATATCATCACGATACAATGAATTGCAGCTTAAATTTGAAATTGCAGATATTTATTTGGAATGCGGCAGTTCAGAGAAGCGAAGATGTAACATTATCAAGTTTGAAAAATGCTATACCACATGTATCAGTTAACCCAGTAATTCTAAATTTTTAACAGTACTGATGTTCAATGTTTCTGAGCAAAAGCTGTCTTGGTATTTGCTTTTTTCATTAATTTTTAGTCTGCTTTATTTTTTTTTCAATTTTCAGTCGCGTATATGAGCTATGTTTTCATGTATATATATCAGACTAATGACTGAAAGATTAAAGACGTATGGGGTGTGGCCTATATTCTTTATTAAATAAATAATCCAATACGACTGTTAATTTTCGTTTTACTGAAACTCGTAGCAGGTGAATTAACGAACTGAATAATTGGGTGGTAATTTGAGTCTAAAAGGTGGTGTGCAATCTTGCTAGAGTTCTTGCTAAGAAAAAGTGTTGCGTATGTTCATATGAAATGATATCTGAGCAATTAAGTTTCTTACAGGAACTATGTGCTCTTGTTACTGTTGAAGTTTAAATTGTACTGATTTTATTATAGTTTAGTTATTACCACTGTTAGTCTTTTTTTATTATTCTTTTGCAGTTTTTTGTACAATAATTCATCAATAGCTTTTTTCAGAAACGGAGTCAGCATACATTGGCTTCTCGTCTTGACAATAATATTATCCGTAATATTTTAAGGGACTTCGAGTAAAGCCAGATGAAGTATCTTGTACTTTCTGACAGTTTGATCAGTGATAATATATAATTGCTGACTTCATTTCCCCGGTGATTCCAGAAAGAAGTAGATGGAAAATTCCATGAAACCTTTCAGCACATTTATGTTTGTGTTGTCGATTTTTATATGTACTCAAGTTATTTAATTTCCAGATTCTCAAATTTTTCATATATTTTATTGGAAGATAAAGTTTTGATCATTGAATTCTGTGCCAAAGTGGAGTTATCTGTATTCAAGATTTCTTCTGGAGAATTACTCTATACTTGGCCGGAAAGTTTATTGCTAAAAATACACTGTATGGGACATTCCAACTATACAAACTGCTTAAGCCTAAACTGAGGAATATATATAATTTCTTTGCTATTAAGTTTTTATGTTTCTTCCTAATGTATCAGTGTGAAGAGTGCTATACCACATGTATCAGTTGGCCAAGTAATTCTAAAGTTTTAAGAGTACTCATGTTCAACATTTCTGAGCAAAAGCTGTGTTGATGTTTGCTTTTTTCATTAATCTTTAGTTTGCTTTAGTTTTTTTTTTTTTTCCAATTTTCAGTCACGTATATGAGCTATGCTGTATAAACATATGAGCTATGTTTTCATATATATATATCAGACTAATGACTGAAAGATTAAAGACATGGGTTGTGGCCTATATTCTCTATTAATGAACTGAATAATTGGGTGGTAATTTGAGTCTAAAAGATGGTGTGCAATCTTGCTGGAGTTGTTGCTAGGAAGAGGTGTTGCGTATGTTCATATGAAATGATATCTGGGCAATTAAGTTTTTTACAGCAACTGTTTGCTCATGTCACTGTTGAAGTTTAAGTTGTACTGATTTTATTATAGTTTAGTTATTGCCATTGTTAGTCCTTATTATTTTCTCATTTTTTTGCATAATAATTCACTATTTTTTAATGACCTAATTCTTTATAATAATTTATAACATCTGAAACCTAATACATTTAATCATGAAAGGCAAATGAATTATTCGGGAATGCAGAATAATTGTGTCTTTATTCAGTTATATTCAATGTTCAATTTAGAGTCCATACACGTTATCCCATACAATATTTACGGATGTATTCACCAGCATTCACTTTACGTGGTTATGCAAAAATGATATTGCATGCTTATAAATATCCACATCGACCGGTTGTTGGTTTCCTTATCGGTGAGAACAGGGTAATGGAACTTTCTGAAGTATTTGTAAATGAATAGTAGAGTAAATGAATTTAAATTTGATACGACCTAAATCTATCTTTTAATGTAGTTGGTGTGAAATATTGGAGAAAAATTAAAGATTTAGGTATTGGAGGTCTGTGGTTACGAATCAGTTAATGCATTCAAGAGGTAAGATTTCGTAACTTGTTAGAACTGTGTATGATAGCAGATTTTTTAGAATAGTGAAGTGATATGCACTGACGCCATACCCGTATTGCATGAAAGCGCATCTCTAAGTGTAGCCCTGGAAGCAGCTTTGATATGTATAGATGATTGCACCAAAGATGATCGTACTCTCGCTGGACTCTATTTTTGTAACCAATCGCTTTCAGATAATAGGTAAATGTTAATTCCTTCTACAAAACGTTAGACTTTTCCTTTTTCCTGAAATGGCAATCTTCCTGTTCGGAAATATTTTTTCGAGTTAGTTTTTGGACATTCATTTCAGTCTTGATCCTTATGCAGTGCGAGTAGCTGAAAAAATTGTTTCGAATTATCCGAACACTTTCCTCGTTCAAGTGATTTTTTTCATTATTTTGAAGATTTTATAAGATTATGATAAAGAATTAATGGGAAAAGGAGTGGTCTCTTTAATCAGCAAAATCATCGGCGAGTTAAAGTGTTCCAATTTCGGATGATGGCATAACTATGCATAGGATTATTGTTCAGATGGCTATGTTATTGCTTAACAGTCAATTTATAGTTTAGTTGTGCGTAAGCCTTTGTAAAAATATAATGTTTATTAGCCTTAAAATACAATGCTAGATTTTTCTTCACACTAATTTTCGACTAAACATTGACTAACTAGTCTATTAGTATAGTTATAAAGTCTTTTCTGAAATATTAATTCCTTACAAACTGATTTATTCAATACGATTTATGAAAAGTATTCGGAAAGCTACAGTAGTATCTAAAATTTGTGTTGCAGATCGGCAATTCCCTTCTTGGTACTGGATTGTTAGAACCTGCTATTGAGGTTTACGCTTTGGATAACAAATTGTGGAAGATAAAAAGGTATTTTTATTGCTTCTTTTTTCACAACCAAATATAAATGTTTCTTTGGTAGTTAAATCGGAAACTTAATATTACGTGGCAGATTTTGTATTGTTGATTTTCTCTCTATTATGCATATTATGTAATTGCTGAAAAATCCAACGTTATGATTGAGTTTTCATGTGCGAATAATTCCAGATTCACTATACTTAACGAAGAAACAGTGTTACCAGTCGTTTCTAGTGCCGTGCAGACGAAATTATACCTTGAAATCATGGATTTTGAAAATCATTTGGATAATCCTGTTAATGACCACTGGAATACAGCACTAAATGAGAAGCTGGAACGGTCATCGTACCGAAATGCTTGCAGTTGATCTCATCTTCAACCTAGTCATTCTCTACTTTGCTCTTATTACTTTGGGATTATGAAAAAATTTTCTATGAAAAAGTGTGTGAAATATAAAAGCTTTTTACTTATGAAATTTTTTAAACATCGATCCAGGTGAATTTCGCAAATGGATGCAGTCATTTGGTTCTAATTAGACAGCGCAAAAGGTATTGGTATTTATAACGATCTGATGAACACTATTGAACACTCACCACAGAGAACTGATGAACACAGTCTGCTATGATGGTGCACTTATACTATGTAGAGCTGAATTTTACATCGTCCTCATTTATTCGTCGAGGAGTAAAATACCCATCACTTTTCGTTTGAGGGTTTACTTGCACCAGTGCAATTTCTCACTTTGTCATTATATAATATGTGAGTATTATTCGGAAAAAATTTGTACAAAGCATGGAGGATCAAAGTGCGATTTGATAGCATTGGTGAATTTAACGCACGCGTCAATTTGAGTTCTCTTTCAATACTTGTTCCGTCTCTGAACAAGGAATTATTTGCAAATCGATTCCAGATGGTGGATTAGGGAGTGTTGAGTACAGTATTTCTATTCCTCACAAGATGCAAATCAGTTTGGAAGATTTTAATTTCTGATTCTCTGATTGAGCAAACTGAATTCATTCTCTAATGCATGTTCACTCTGGTTGGTTTATTCACATTGGGTACCTTTCAGAGATTTTTTTGGAAACCTGTTCATAATCTCGCGGAATTTGCTGCTTTAGTGACAAATTTAGTCTTAAATTATGCAGCCATCTGTTTCAGGATTCTGAAGATGTTGATAAATGTATTGCGCAGGCCAAAGCAAAGAGCGCTCAAGAAGTTAGAAGAGCTGTATTTTATTGCAGAGAATTGTCGACGATCGGTTACCGGAGAGGAATCTCTTGTCGATAAACGTAAGTTATAATGTTAACATTCCTGGAAAGTTTCGGGAATCATGTATTAAAATTTATTTTGCAGGCAAAGAGTTTTGGATGAAATGTGGTGTCTTTTTCCCACCATTTTATCCGAGTCCGAAACCAGCTCCCCGAAACGCTTATGAACGAATGTTTACTCACGGCACTAGGTTTTTTTTCAGGATTCCTTATGATATTACCTTAATGATCTTTAACGTGAATGATTAATTCAATTTCGTCTTAGCATTGCCTTTTTTCAGAGAAAACGATCTTATACGCATTGTATCTAGTTTCCTTCTCTGTGAATTTGTTGGTCTGTTATTCTTCGTTTCTATTGCTCTCAAGTATTCCGTCTTTCCCAGTCGGTATTAGTTTTTGTCTTATCTTCAATGAACTAATCACTTACACTTACTGTAGATGCAATCATTGCCTTGCTTCAGTGTTTACTGCGCTTTATTTCATGAGGGAACTCAAAAGAATTCACTAATCAAAGTTCATTATAGATTAGGAGTATATGTAAGTATCGTTGTGCAGTTAATATTAAGTTTGATGATACCATTCCCATCCATTCGAGCCATCATCCTGATTGCTGCAGTCAAATTAACCACTAGCCGTCTTCGTTCCATTATTCTCATGTTTATAATAGTGTGGGCATTTCAAGTCAGTTTCTGTTAACAGTTTTATCTATTCTTTGCCAAACCTTACATTTTCTGATTGCTATATTTTGATTTCAAAAAAGATAAAAAATCAAGGATCGTGGTTGTTTTAATGATTTGATATGAATTATTTTTAAGACTGCAGAATGTTACTTGATGGACTGATTACTTCTAGATGTTTATCATCTGCAGATATCAGCAACTAATACAACTCGTAATTTGCAAATGCTCGCAGAATCTGCTGCTTGCGTGAGTGACTCGGCGATTCAAATTGGTAACAAACTTGTTAGTGAAGTTAATATGCAAACCAATAAGGTTGTCATTGATTTGTTTAGAACGTCGGTATGTAGAATTTTCTGAAAAACAATTGCAAACAGAATATTGAGTTTCCGATTCTGTCCTTTTCTACACTGGATTTTTAGAGAAACATGAATTTGTTTTCTTTTCAGCTTTCATTATCAGGATTAAAAGAACAAGGTCGTTTTTTCATAAAACATCTTGAAATTTTTCGAAATACCATGCGCAAGTTGCAAAATATTGTTGTTAAGTAAGCTCAAGTTTTCCCAAGTTAGTTAGTAATTAGTAATTCTATATTTGTGGTTAGTGAATTCCTTGGGCTTTATTTTAGGTTCGGTAAGCAGACAAAGGATTACTTGGTACAGTTGCTCACAGTTAAAGAGTATTGCCAGCGATTCTTCATTGGTCCCTATTACTTTGTGAGTATTTATGATATAAAGTTATAAAAAGTAGCCTTACTCAAAGTAGTCATCATTTCTAAGGAGACAGAAGAATTTGGGAGATAAAAATCAGCGACTGATTTTAGCACCGAATGTAATCATTCTTCAAAAATGCATTTTCCAGTGTCTTCGAATTTTTGATGAGAGCACTCAGTATTGTGATCGACTTACTCTGTACCGTGGATTACCAGTTTGTAAATTTGTGAAGGATATGAGAATGGTCATTCTTTCTTACTTCCAATGTTTTTTGCTATCAGTCTTTTAAGATGGCTACATATGTATTAAAGAATTACAGATGTGTGTCAAAAGAAACTGTTTCGTATTAATGGAAACACATATTCTATGCATGTTAACTTGAAAACAATGCGGAGTAAGATGGAAAACCGAGAGATTTTGATTTCAGTGGATTAATCTTTAATTAATCTTTATGCTTTAGATTTGTGATGCGGCACGATTTGGTGAACTGGTTTGTGACATCCCAGAGAAAATAAAAGAATCTCTGAAGTCCGGCTTTCTAACATTTACTAAGGATAAAATGAAAGCTGCTATGAACTCTGTTGTGAACGATTACAATATCAGTTTTCTTGCAGTTCATAATTTAAACATTTTAATTTATGATTCGTTTTTTGCTAAACGTCTATGAGCTCTCTTTTGAAAAAACATTATATAGCATACTTGTGGTGTTCTAGTGGAATATTATGACAGTGCGACATGACTCATTTCTTGTGATATTCAGGTACGGAAAGGTAGTTCATTTAAGTGAGATTATAAATATCATTTCTGCGCTCTTTATCTCTCAGTTTAATTGAGATGCTAAGTATGACGATGAGATTTTACAATCATTTACAGAAAGAGGCCAGAGCGGCAAAAAAATCGTGGGATGAATTTGGGATTTCGCTGAATCATACTATTGAAGACAATCATACGCAAACGTTCCAACTGGAAAAAATGAAGTAAAGGGTGTAATACATAATTGTTCTTTGTTACACTTAAATTTAATACTTATTATTACTTAATTCAGGGAAGAACTGGAAGGAGTCCTGAATCAGTTCGGAGTTTTTGTGGAGATTTTATCTACGACAATTAGCTTTATTATTCCCAATTTAATTATTATAACTTTCCTTATGGTAACCATCTCTCATCATACATTTCTTTGAATTCCACATTCATATGAAAATCAACGATCCTTACTTAATCCGGAAAAAAACGATTTGTATGCAATTATTTTATCAGGCATTAGTGTACGTTATAAAGTATAAGCAGAAGGAGAAAGTGGATAACGTCTACATAACAGGAGAATTTCGAAATGTTGATATGCTGCGGGAAGCACAAGGGCAACCTTCTTTACTTCCACTGTTACCCAAAGAACGAGAAACAGTTAGTTCACTTGTGTTATTCTCACTTCTCATTTAAATTTAGGTTTTATTCATAATAAATGCTGCATTGATGGAATCTTAAGACATACTTGCAATAATAGAGATGGGTGATTTAAATGCATTTCCAAAAGGATAGAACTAAATTTCTAAAAGAAGAAATATGTAATTTGAAAATAAATGTTGTGTAATTTGAAAAACAAATGAAAAGTAAATGTAAATGTTGTAAATTACTTAGTGTTGCAGTATATTGAAGGATTCACATTACACATGACATCGAAGGAGAAAATGAAAATGCTATTTGCATTTTCGATTACATTGATTGGGGGTTTCATGCCAATTTTTCTAATATTGTTGGATGTATTCACCTATCAAATGCTTTATTTCACTTATTCATTCCTGCAATCTAACGCTACTCGCACCAGTCGACTTGATTTCTACAATCTTAAAGCATGTCTTCATTCTTTTCTTTGTTCTGTACTCTCCGTTTCTTAGATCATTTTATCTTCTAGGCTGCGGGAGAAGGTTTTTTGGCAAAACTCCTGCAAAGAATTCTTCATATATTTCATCCGATCACAGGAAGTCAACATAGCGATAATGACTGGAGACAGTGTTTTATAGAGCCGAATCCACCAGATTTCCAGCTGATTCGGCTAATGATGCTCTTATATTTAATTGCCTTTTTACTTTGTATTCTGCAGGTAAAAACTGCTTAAGCAATTAGTAATTCATGCAAGGTTTTTCGTTTACATGCCTTCATCTAAAATTATTAAAATTAATTGATAAAATGCTTGATCTAAGCATTTTATCAAACAAGTTCATCAAAGATGAATATTCCATCATTTCTTTATTTTGTTTTCCCTAAAATCCTCATCAAAAACTCCTAGTAATAGAACTCTAATTAATTAGTTATTAAATCATTTGCTATAATGGGATATTTGAAGTAATTAATTCACAATGATTGTTATTATGAGTTTGGGCCATGAGCTAATCCTGTTTCAGTCCTATTTCCAAACCCTCTGTAATCTTGTGGATAGCATACTTCTATAACTCTGGAGTTTCATGATTTCGAAGACATAAAACTTATTTAAAAAGGAAATTGTAAAAAGTTTAATCAAGTGAAATCATATAGGGACATTTCGTAGGTATATGTAGTAAGATGTCGACATTTGATTGCGCAACATTATTGGCCAGAAAGAACAAAACCACGCACTTTATGGTTGTATAATCAAGTACTCGAAGGTCGCAAAAGTATTTTGACACAGTTGATAAAAGCTGCCAAGGAAAAGGTTTGCTTCTCATCTCTAAAGACATAAAAAGAATGTTTGAAGATTTAAAAACTTCATTTAAGGAGCTTAAAGATCAGCTGGTTGAAGATGAAATTAGCGGACGGGGAAATCTTGTAAATCGTGGCTTGACGGTGTTAGGTGCTGATCAATACAGATGTGTCAGATGTTTTCGATCAGATCTCAGTATCGCCGATGCAAGATTAGTTAACTCATAGAGAATTAAAATCAATAAGTTTTACAGAATATAACTACGAAAAAAGAATAAATAGGACACCGAATGCTTCGGCTTTCGAAACTTTCATATATTATGGGTTTAAAAGATGGATCTAGACAATTTAGAGCAAATTTTTAATTTGATTTCAAGATTTTTTAATTTAATTTTAATATTTCTCTAATCTGAGTGCCATTAAAAGTACTAATGAAAAGTGGGAAACGTAGAAGATGATATGAAAAAAATCAATGTAAAGAAAGAGTTTCCACTTCAAAAATATAGAACACAATGATGACGTTTATTAAAATAATATATTACAATTTTAGTAACTCAAGAATATGCCCTAACTGCAACAATTTATATTGCACTGATTGTTACGCTGTAAAGAAAAAATGCTTAGAATGTGGCGCAAACTTACAAGTCGGTGAAATACGCATACATCTGTGATATATCGAAATCCTTCTACAATTTTATTTCTCGTCAAATCTGATGTCATTTACTCCCGACCACTTCGAAATATTCGCGTTTCACATTGTTATAGTTCTTTTATAAGAGAATGATATTCTTCAAGAATGATCTTAAAAATGTATTACCTATGTTCTGTTTTTTATATAAATTTGTACTTTGTGCAGAACATAATCATTCCAGGAAGTATTGAATGAAACTGAATTTTATATAGACAGCAGCTGCGAAGAAGATGAACTTATTCTTGAAGACATTGGTAGGGATGGCACATCTATTCATTTATTTTCTCTTGCTTTTTTAATAATGCTTTTATGTTAGTAGATAGTAATTAATGTTCTACAGTTTTCTTGCATGGATGTTTCGTTGCAGGAACACCGGAAATTCCGTCTTTGGTATAACCGTGTGTCAGTGAATGAAAGAAAGTTTGTCTACATGAAATACTTCATCTCAACATGTTTTTTTTTTCCTTTCATTTTGTTTTAATTAATGAACGTAACACTCTCACTGTCAAATCTATACCGATCAAAAAGGAATGAATTAATGCATAAACAAATAAACTTTCTCGCAGATACTTATATACTTCTGGTGATTATTCACAGATGTCGCAAAATACAGAAATGAATTTTTTGTTTCACACTGCGGCCGATTCCAAATACTTCTGTTCTTTGATTTTATTTGGATTTATACTCTGTTTCTTCACCTTTTTTCATCAGAATAGTAATGATGGAATTCTTTTATTACATTGGGGGAATTTAAATCACCTTATCAATCATTTTTAGGGGACAAATTTTAAGAGTAACCTTTGCACTTGCTTCGGTCTATTCTGTTTAGATATTACTGAGATACTATTGAATTCGGTGTGAATGAGCTTAGAAATTAGCAAAATTCGTTACTGTTCTCGCTCTCATCCACCATTTTCTTCATTTGCACAATTTTCAAGGATACTGAACTTTTATGGCAAATTCTTGCCTCGATTTATATATAGAAAGAGAAACATGGAAACGAACCAGTAAAAGTACATTTCTCTTAAAATGCATCAGATCATTAATACACTGAACAGAACAGGTAACATTACTACAAACAGCAAACAGTAAGCAATTGTTACATACATGTTTTCTAAATTATTATATGCGTTAGTGTGCGCGTAAATTTATTCGCAGAAACGCAGAGCTTTATAGTGTTTTACATTATTTCAATGTTTTATAAAAAAGCACCGCACTTTTCTAATACTGTTTATATATATGTATATGCAAAGATCTAATCAAAATGTGTGTTTCATTTTCGAAATCGATACACTAATTTTTTGTTATTGAATGAATAAGAAATGTTAGTTTATTATTGTTGAGGAGTTTGTTTAAAAAGAATTTTTTGTTTCATTTTTGATTGTTCGAAGCTATTGAAAAACATGTCTCTGAAGGTGGGCATTTTGTTTAAGAGCAAACACTGAACAATCCTCATTATTATTCATTCTCCCTTCGTTTATAAATGTACGGCTTTTGGAGCATTGCTGTGTTAGTCTGCTTTAACTATGTATTTGGCTATTATTGTTATAGTTAGTAATCAGTGATTGCTTCAAATGTCCAAATATTTGGAAAAATAGCCCTGAGAAATCGACTCGAAATATAAATTCTTCTTGCTTCTTCCTTCTTTTGACAAATTTTCAACGACATTTGAAGGAAATTCATTCACTTTAGTTCATCTCATTGACATGCACCGTTTTTTCAGTAAATGTTGAAAAAAAATGTTGGTTAACAGTTTCCCTGTTTCAGTTACCGAATGCTGAACAATTGAGGTCATCCAATGAAATCGCTTTCAGCTCATATTTTATTGAACATCAAAACTCAATGAATCCGCCAACATTAAATCATGGACGTCGAGGATGGACAAAAAGGGCGAGAAAGTGGGCGTACGGAGGTGGAAAAGAGGGAGACGGTGAACTATGCGTAAATTAAATCGAACACCGTAACTAGCACCACATTGAACATCGATTTATTTGGTGTGTGTGATCAATTTAACAAAAATAAATGAAAAAATTAATCCGCTTTCAATGAATAAAAATTATCACCAGTACATTCATTCACTGAAGAAAAAAGTAATTCCGCTTTCAACTTTTTCTCACTTTTTTTTTTGTTTTTGCAGTCAAACTAAAAAATGCAATGAGCATGGAAAAACACAGTTATGCATAGGAATTAACTTAAATTTCCAAAATGAAGCTGTTCCACAAATAAAAAAAGAATGTTGTTGCATGAGAACAAGTCTAACCAATTATCTCTCATTAACCTTACGTCTTGGTACGTGTCTGATATTATCAGTTATTTCAGTTCTGTGTGATAATAAAAATAGAAAACAGTATTTGGGCACTTTCTTCAAATCAACTGCTTTCATGATTTGACACACAAAACTTATGTCACTGAAAAATTGTACTTTTTGAATCGGGAAAGAAGGCGGGAATTCTCAACCTTTGCTTTCTCTTTCTTTCCATTTTCACCTGTTCCTCTACATTATTTACTTTTTATAATGGCATCGAAATATCGAAATCAATGTTTTAAGTAAGGCATTTTCTCTTATAATAAACTCTTTCCGTTAATATCAGTCGTAAACGATTAAAGGTCATCCACAACTTCATTCTTCTTTGGTGTTTGAAATGGTTGAAAAAAAAACTGAAATTGTTGTATTGAAAGATAGAACGCATTTTTTTAAACTATTAGTAATAAAAATGAACTTAACCTTCGACTATCCTTAGTTGAAAAAGCTATACAAGATAGTAGAAAGAAGGTTGATATGGTGATATTTGGAGATCGAGTAATCAGTTTAGTAATTTCAAAGCATTATCAGTTTATTTGTAATTAATGTATATTGGTTTGTCTCCAGCTGAAATTATCTAACTGTACAATAAGCAAATTGATCAACTACCTTTTTACAGCAGCCTTCGCAGTTTACTTCGAAAGTTTACTTCGAAAATAATACTACTACGGAAAGCAATCAAAATATCAAGCTTACACATTTCCATGTTCTTCTTCACAAGGTACCTTAGGTTCGTTGTTAGCTTCAAAGGGATCGTTCTTTATGACTTCATTAAGAACAAATATTCAACCTTGACCATTGATTATAATTGAAAGTATCAGAAGAATTATTTAATGATTTTTTAAGGTACGCAAGCTGTTAATGATGTATTTATTTTTTATAATTAAAATTTTATAAATGATAAAAAAATAAACAAGATTTTGTTAAAGGAAAAAGATAGTGTAAAACGATTAACAATTTATTTTCAAAAAAAGAAACAACCAATTACTAATTTTGTATAAATTTCAAGCTCTTGATTTCTGCACAAAACAACATGTAGTTTAAAATAACGTTATTATTGAAGTTATTTAAATTATTCATTACTATTATTATTATTAATTATAGTAATGTTTGTCTAATAACATAACTTATTTCTTTTCATGATGGCAAGACTTCTAACGTTCAGTGCTGGTTTATAAAACTGGATGGATGTTCTTGTACAATTTCGTGCAGTAAGAGGAAATGTACTTTAAGTGGGACCAGAAGAGTGATTGAGTGTACATTTGTCAAATGCATCGTGATCAGCCATACCACCGCTATGTCCTCCAAACACATCCAATTTATACCTTTTTTTCATTTTTCCAAAGAATTTGCTCTTAAATTTTGTTGCTTTCTATTATTGTATTTGCTATAAACAATATTTTACTAAGTCGAAAAGATAAAGACCAAACACTTGTAGTAGATGAAAGCTTTTGAATGAGCTTTGCATTTATAATCAAAGCATTTTTGATTCATGTTGCATTTAAGGCATTTCTGTCTCTGCGAAGCTTTATCCGATCTTTTGCGCATAGAAAAGTGAATGGATGGATGAATAAATGGAAGGAGGAAATGAAATGATGATCGGTGGAGTAATGAGTGTCAAGAAAGAGATGTGATTTCTAAGAGTTAGAATCATACCATACTCACTTTCCAAAATTTCTCTTGTTAAATGCATTTCCTTGCTTTAAGTCTTTTATTTAACTATTTAAGCTGCCATACAAAAGAAACATTTCCGCCTGACCTACTAAGTAAGAATATACAAGAAATAAATGGCATCTCCACATAATAATATGTGTTTTATCATAACATACGATAATTATCACAAGGAATTACTTTCAATCATTAAATTTCTTTCCTCTGGAATTTATGTAAATTTATTTGGATTATTTGTGGCAGATACATTTGAAATTCAATTTATCTTGCAGCATATGCTTTAGCTGCAAATTACATAATATGAATAGTTGGCCAAATATAATATTAGTTATATTTTGGTCATTCTGCTTGAATGCTTCCTCTACTTACCAAAGGAAAACTTTTATCAAAAATGAAGAAACATTTTTGTGCTATAGCTTTCTGGCCGAAAGAAAGTAAATTTCTGGAATGTTAAATATTCTGTTGATTTGTTGATACTGGAAAACATTACTCGTAATTAGTTGTCTGCATTATTTGAAAAGCAATTTTTAATAAATGAATGGATTGTTTGCACTCTGAATATTA